ATATGCATATATATGAGTGTGTGTGTTTGTGTTTGTGTGTTATTTTTTTTCTTCGTTAAAACGTACTTCTTCTAAGTTATAATGTTTTATCCAGATGCTCGAAACTCGGAATTTCATGTAGTGTGCTGATGAATGGAACGTGTACACGCCCTCAAAGGAGAGCCTCAGCGCAACCCATTATAACCTCAGGCACTCATTGAGGGCAGAGATGTGATGTGCTGAGTTCAAAACCTTGAAAAAACGTATAGAATGCTTTATTTAATTCGTTGCAGTTGTTCTGCGGTAGCGCTTTCGAGACCGCGCCTGCGCCTGAAACTGTTTTCACAGTCGCAGCCGGTAACAAGTACACTCATTGGCCTTCCCATTAGGAAGTCAATGCACCACTGCCAAACAGATTATCAACTCCTCCGGACACATCAATTTGTCTAGTATAAGTAAAATTCAAGTGAGAGAATAATCCCATCGTAGATATAGGCATGGGTGCCGGCTCAGTAGCGCAGGATGCCTTTACTTCGCTGGTTCAGTATTAGAAGTGGGGCTCGATGGTGTCCCGCACAAGCTTTGAGATTTCCTTAAAGTGGGGGTGTTCTTTTTCGCGACACAAATCGAACAGCACATTTTCGGATGTGACTATACACGCACCCGCCTGTCTCATGCGCTGTTCGAAGAGAAGACATCCAAAGTCATGAGTGTGTGCAAGGTACTGGTCTATAAAGAGTGATATACAATGACCATCAAAGTATTTAAGGAGGAGAAGACAATCAAAGACATGAGTGTATGCAAGGTACTGGACTACAAGGAGCAATTTACAAAGAACATCAGTGGAATAGTGGGCACTTAAAGAGAAGACAACAAAAGACATGCAAGGTAGTGAACTATTGGGAGTGATATACAATGACCGTCGGTGGAATAGTGGACATTTAAGGGTGTGCGATAAGTGAGTTGGATAGCAAGTCGAGAATACACAGTCTGCGTCTAACAAAAGTTTCGCAGTTCCCAGTTGGCATCTAGTATAGGATCACATGAAATTGGGATCAATATGTGATACTACCTCGGGCGACACATGCGTATGGGTCGGATTAAAGTGGGTTGTGATCATCTTTTTTTTAAGCCCAATGTACTGTTCTCGCATGAGTGTAGCATTCAAAAGTAGAGTCGTCCATCAAAAGACAAACATTAGAGAGAAAGGGTGTGGGTGCATTACTAGACCATCTCTCAGATGATAGACAGATGTGCGTAGAGATACACCACGCTTGTCGCCACAAGGCTATTATATACGTATATGTACGCATGAACACCAAACATTCACAGCCACGTATGTTCACAAGGCTTGTGGCTACAAATGCACACAGAGCAGATCTACGTGAAACAAAAGCAACGCATGTGCATGTACACCGAGCCGAGCGCCGCAGTACTTACATCGATAGCTATCTCGCGATCAAAGCTTGAGCGCGAGGACACTGCATCCGCGAGTATATGCACATTGTAACCCTTCTCAAGGAAATCCATGCACGACTGGTACACACACACGTGTGACTCGACCCCGAATAAAACCAGATTTTTCCGATCGGGACTGGCGTTGAGAACCTCCTCTACTTGTGGCACACACATGGAAAACTTGGTTTTCTCGAAGCAATGGGTCACCCGTGATTTGAGATCAGGGACGGTGCCCCCTAGACCTGTGTGTGGGTAGGAAAACAGTCGGCAGTTAATAGAGCGGTAATCACCTGCATTCTGTAGAGCGTGTATAAAACGGACAGGAGCATGACATACATATGGACATGCCCGGATTTCAAGATGAGACATATGCGCATGAGCATATGCGTTACCGTATTGCATATTGGGCGGTTGGCTCGCGCGAACAACAAGGTTTCGAGTAGGAATCAGAGCAGGGAAACACCCGGGTAATGGTGGTATTCCGGACACATATATAAATCAATCTGTATGGGCTAGCAGCGACTCCTTTTTGTTTCAGTGTCACAATGACAACGCTGTGAGCTGTGTCATTTGCATTTCAGTTTGGACGACTGATGGAGTATAGTGTGTGGTGTAAGACTAATCAAGTATAAATAACTCATATTAGAGTTGGACGATACGGCCAACGTATCCGTCAAAGGAAATGAACAAGTATCAAAGTAACAGTACGAAGGACCCTGTGGCGTATAATAAAGACTTGACGTAGCAACGAATGAAGCTCAGTTTGCTGGAGTGGAGATTATGCTATGATGTGTAAGTTTCGTATTCAATTTAGAGTTGATTACCATGAGCACAAATAGACCTGCTCGACGCGATTCAATTGAGAGTGGAGGCGACGAACGGCATGATCGTGATGGGAGCTATATTTATAACCAAACAGGCTGAAGAGTCTTTAACATATAAAATACACCAACCCCAAAATAAAAGCAATACCTACCTTTAGGGTATTGCTCAGTCGCCACTAGTGGAACGCCCAGGATGTTCGCAGCGTCGATCTGGGGTAAAGAGGAAATACATGGCAATTAAACGTTTTGAGATTAGAATGCACTGAAAGGGGTTTGTAAACCGGTGAGAATTTCATTGTTACTAGTAGGAAAGGGTTGAACGAACTAAGTGGCGAATTGAGAGACGTAAACTCGAAATTATATATATATATATATGCATATATATATATGTATATAATATGTATA